GAAGCTCAGTCGCACTGGATGGCTCGAGCCGCGGCTGCTCAGGCTCAGGAGCAGGAGGACTAGTAGGACTAGGCCCTAGGCATCTCAGTATGCGCATCTCAGTAGACGGTGAAATCGCCAGCTCGATCGGCGAAGACGGGCTCGTCGGGACAGCGTCGAAATCGACGAGGCCATTGCCCGCGGCCCATAGAGATGGGATCTGACGAATGGCATTCTCGAGAGCAAGATCGCCAGCAGATGATGCCAGGGACGCAGGCGAAGGGGGGTGCACCACATCGATGACCACGGCGCCCCTGCCAAGGAGAGCCGCCCGCGCCGCCAGTCGGCGCCGATGGGGGGGGCCGCCGGGGCGACGGCGTCGCCAAATGGCCCAGCCGAGGGGGCGCCGACGCAGTAGGGCCATCCGCGGCGCCCCCGCGCCGCGCTGCCAAGATGCCCGAGCCGCGAGATAGCGACGAGCCCCACGTTTGCCTCCAAGACGGCCCCCACAGACTCCAAGAGGGCCCCCCAAAACGACGACGACGACGACGACGACGACGACGACGACGACGACGACGACGACGACGTCCACGTGCAAACCTCCGCGGGCCGCGAAGTCGCGCTAAAATCTAGATAACCTAAGATGTAGACGACTGTCAGAGGTCCCTCCCGAGATATGCCGAGCTAAACCCTAGACGACTGACGACTGTCAGAATCGGCATCACGACACAGCACGGCACGGCGCGGCCCAAGACCCAAGACGGCCCAAGGCCCAATCAGAGACGGCCCAAGACCCAAGACGGCACGGCACGGCGGCCTCAAGACGGTCCAAGACTTTCAAGACTCCCCAGGGGCCCGAAAGTACACACCTAGAGCGTTCCCCCAGCAAGGCAGCGGGTGGACTCGGAGAATCGCAGCAGGCGTCCAAAACACTTTTGACTTTTGACTTCTGTCCTCTCCGGCGGCGTCGGATGAGTCACCAAGGTTGTGAGCAATGCGGCGTCACAGCTGCGTTCAAATTGAGCCAGCGCACCGCCAGTGCGCAGGCCGAGTAGGGCGGCGGCCCTCAGAGGAGCCGAAGGCGTGCAAGCGGCAGTGCAGCTGTAACTGAAGTAGCAGTGGAAGCAGAAGCAGTCCTGGCAAGCAGAAATACTGTACCAAACTGCACTGAACCAGCAGTGGTAAGCAGAAGCGCACACAACCAAACATGATCGACCCACGAACCCGGAAAGGAATATAGAAATGTAACGCATTGCAACATTTCAAAGACACCTGATTGGGCGACGGGCACATGCAATGCTGAAAGTATCGATGATGATGTACTGTGCCGAGGGCTGTGCTGTGCTACGCCGTGCTGAACTGCGATGTGCCATGCCGCGATTGTGCTCTGTATAGCGTTGTGGATCGAGTCCTCCCTGGCATCCGAGTCCTCACCGAACTGATCTGGAGCGTAAGCTCGAGCTGCCTGAGCAGATGGTAGCTGCCCCAGAACTAATCGACAGAGGGAACATGCCAGGAGGACGCACCGCGGAACGTCCCAAGGGACACGCCAGGCGACGTGCCAGGGGACGTGCCATGGGCACGCACCGCGGGACGTGCCAAGGGGACGCGCTACGGAACGTGCCAATGGACGTGCCGAGGGACGTGCCAGGGGACGCGCCGCGCGACGTGCCAGGTGGACTCGCCACGGAACGCGCCAAGGAACGTGCCAAGGTGCATAGTTGAGTGCATCGATCTTGATGTACCGTGCCGACGGCTGTGCTGTGCTGGGCCGTGCTGAACTGCGATGTGCCATGCCGCGATTGTGCTCTATATAGCGTTGTGGATCGAGTCCTCCCTGGCATCCGAGTCCTCACCGAACTGATCTGGAGCGTAAGCTCGAGCTACCTGAGCAGAGGTAGCTGCCCCAGAACTAATCGACAGAGGGAAAATGCCAAGAGGACGCGCCGCGGAACGTCCCAAGGGACGCGCCAGGCGACGTGCCAGGGGACGTGCCATGGGCACGCACCGCGGGACGTGCCAAGGGGACGCGCTACGGAACGTGCCAATGGACGTGCCGAGGGACGTGCCAGGGGGACTCGCCACGGGACGCTCCGCGGAACGTGCCAGGCAACATGCCAGGCTGCAATGCTAAGGGTATCGATATTGATGTACCGTGCCGAGGGCTGTGCTGTGCCTGGGCGACCTGGACACGTGAAAACACGCGTTTCGCTCAAGACGTTGTCAGCACATCCTCATGCTAGACATCCGCCTGGGCAACCTGGACACGTGCAAACAAGCGTCTCGCTCGAGACATCCTCAACAAATGCTCATGCTAGACATCCGCCTGGGCGACCTGGACACGTGAAAACAAGCCTCTGGTTCGAGACATCCTCAACAAATCCTCATGCTAGACATCTGTCTGGGCCACCTGGAGGCGTGAAACCAAGCGTCTCGCTCGAGACATCCTCAAGACCTGGGCACGTGAAAACAAGCATTTTACTCCAGAGATCCTCTGAATTCTGGTCTCTGGTCCCCAGGAGAAGACAATCTATCACAAAACAAGCGTTTCGCTCGAGACATCCTCAACAAATTCTGAAAAACTAGCGTTTCGCTCGAGACATCCTCAATGTTTAATTCGCCGGCCCCACGCGACCTCGTCATTTATCGCAAAAGAAATTCGCCGGCCCTACAGCCGTCAAAACCGGGGGGAAACCAACTAAAAGAGAACCCTGGGCCTTTGGCCTTTCCGGCAAAAACTCCGACTCCGCCGACTCCGTCTCGCTGAACGTCCTGGGCCGACTCCGTCCACGTGTCCAGCTCCTCCAGCAGGCGGGTGCATGTGATGTTGTACCACTTACGATTCGTCGCGAACCTGTCATTGTCCAAAGCCCCGCCTACTGGAAATGAGGCCGAGCAGAGCTGCACGTCAATCATGTCAGGCCTGAAAGTGAAAGTACCACAACCGTCCACGCCGACGTCCGCCAGGGCCGAGATAACGGTGGCCTTCAAGTGCATGACGGTCGCGAACTGCTTCATTGAGGTAGTCCCGGCGATATCCGGGAGCATGACCTCGCCCCACATGTTCATCTCCTCAATGTAGACTGGCACCGCAATCAGGTTCGCGTCGCTCGCAGGCATGAAGAAATTCCAAACCGAGCGATTGTCGACCAGGGCCCAGGAGGTCGTCTTGGGCACCTCAATGGAGAAGTCGTCCGTCCAAGCGATGAGCCACGTGAGGTAGCACACGTCGTCTTGCTCGGCGAGCTCCTTCCCTTGAGGGCGCTCCGCGCTGCACTTGCGCATCACGATCTGCTTGGAGTTGTCGGCGGACACGGAGACGCGGTCAGCGAGCTGATCTTTGATGCTCAGCACGCCGACGCGACACTTGTCGATGCGATGGCCGCCGTTCTTGCTGGCGGCCTCCGCGGCGGCCGAAAAGCTGGTGTCCTGCTCCGCCGTCTTCGCTGGAACGCCCAGCTTGATCCACGTCCCGCACTGTGGCAAGTGCATGTGCATGGTGAACTGCTTCGCCCGGCCGCCAGACTCGGGCACCGGGCTCTCGCCCCAAGCCGCTGACCCCGACCCCGGGGAGCGATGCGCGGCCGCGTGTCCGGCTGATCCAGGCGGCGTGTTCATGATGGGCATGGCGCTGCGGCTGGCCGAGCGCGGCGTTGGCGGCGGCGCGGAGGAGGCAGCCTCCTCCTCGGTGTCCTCGGACACCGTCGGACAGAAAAACAGCCTTCGGGCCAGGTGGATGGCTACGGGAGGACGACCCAGGGACGACATGCAAGGCAAGGACGCCTGCATCATCGGCGCGCATGGGCCCCCACAGGGCCCCACATCCCCACATGGACGCGCAAATGCAAGGATGCAAGGGGTGCCCGACGGCCCGACGGCCCACGCCCCAAAGGCAATGGATTGGGCGCAAGACGAACGCACCGCGCCACCAAGACCGAGCAAGACGTTACGAGCCCACGGCCCATGAAACTCTACTTCCCCCCCCCCCTCTCTCCCTCCGATCTCCCCATCCTCCCTCTGTACTTGAGTCCCTCGACTCCCTCGCCGCCGCTGCCCCGGCTCGCGGCGCCGCGCGCCCGCGGGGCCCGCGGCCGCGGCCGTGCTTGGCCCGCTGGGCGATGAGGCCGCCAGGGGCCAGGGGGGGGCCTGGGAGGCGGGATGAGTGAATGGTGAATGAGACTATGATGAGGGAGGAGGAGGGGGAGTCACGATGAGGAGGGGAGGGGAAGGATGAGCTTCGAGGAGGGGAGGAGAGCGACGAGCGAGGAAGAGGAGCGATGAGAATGAGGAGGGAGAATGAGGAGGGGGGAGTCGGGATGAGCGATGATGATAATAATTCTGATAATGGTGATGTTTTTTCTCCCATTCAATTTCTTTCTTCTCCTCTGAGGGTGCCAGGCGCCCCCATGATCCCCTTGCGCGGCTCGCCGCGCCCCAGTGCAAGCCCTCGCGCTCGTAAGCGGAAGGCCGCGACATCGAGTCTAGTAGGTGGTTGTTTCGTGCGTCGTGTGTCGTGTGTGCGTGCCTCTCTGTTTCTCTGACCGTGCGTGTGCAGCGCCACTTGCTGCGCGTGCCTGGGGCTGCCTCGGCTGCTCGGCGCGCTCGCGGCGCTCGCGACGCTCGGAGTTCGGAGTCGGGCCCGCTCCGGCTGAGACAACACATGCTCGCGCGCGCCGCCAGGCCCACGCCCAAAATTCAGCCGCGGGGGCCCATTCAAGATACATCATACAGATACACAACACACAGGAAAAAATCTCGATGTCGCAGTCGCAGAGGATACAAAAAAAGCCCGCCGTGGTAGAGGAGGTGAGCGAGGATGGGGAGGGAGGGCGAGGAGGTGAATCAGGTCGGAGTTCGGACAGGAAAAGAGAGGAGGGGGGCAGGAGGTCAAGCAGGGGGAAGAGAGGCAGAGAGGGGAGAGCGTAGAGCGTGGGGGACTCCGCTGGGCACTAAACATGCCCGCTGCTGCCCGCGGCCGGTCGCGGCGAGCCCGGTGGCGGCGCGGTGGCGTCTGCTAGCGCCTACCTGAGCAAATGCTTCGCCGCCGCCTTCATCGCTGCCGAGTTGCCCGCGCGCGCGGGCGCGGCAGCAGCGGCCGCGCCCTGGTTGAAAGACATGCTGATGGCGCCGATGCAACCCACGATGTCATAGTTGAGCTTCTCCAGGAGGCGCCCGTTGCTCTTGGCCGCGGGCTTCAGGGTCTCGTCGCTCCAGGCGAGCCTCGTCAAGGGCACGCCGACGGAGGGGGGCTTCTCAGGGGGGCCTTTGTTTTTTGGGCACTAGTCGTTGAAGCAGGCGAACTTCAGGCACACCGTGATCGTCTCCATCGAGGCCGACGGCCGCAGCCGGAGCCCATCTGGCACACTCCACGCGCCCTGCGCCTGGTCCAGCTCCAGGGTCGGCGCCTGGCCGCCCTTCGCAAGGGGGGCTGCCCAGGCAGGGCAAACGCCTGGCGCCCACGCATCCTTGCAGTTGGCGCCGCTCACGTAGATGGGGACGTCGTAGTCGAAGCCGCGCGTCGCCGAGTAGATGTTGATAGCCCCGATCTGGGTGCACGGACTGCCCCCCTTGATGTCGACGGCGCCCGCGAAGGGAAGCTGCAAGCTCGTGAATGCCTCGAGGTCGCCGTTGGAGTGAAGCGGCTGAGGCGGACTCCTCGCGAGTTTGTTGTCCATCATGATGCGCAGCTTGGAGTGATTGGTAATCGACGAATCGTCCCTGGCGCACGCCGCCTCAGCCAGCTTCCACTCGATGAACTTAGTCATGCGGCCGACCCAGTGCATGGAGAACCCCTGCTTTACCTCCTCGTTGTCAAGGTCGACCTTGAAAGCGAAGTCGTGGATCTCGCTCTGAATCTTAGGGACGGGGTCGTCCACCACCGTTGACCAGGCACCCGCCCTCGCGAGCGTGTCGACCACCTTCTTCGGATTCACGTAGACCAGCGCGGCACTCAGAGGGACCGCCGTAGGCTTGTTGGCATCATCATCGGGCGTCTTGCCGTCCTCGGCAGGGCCGAAAATGGGCGGGGCCCCTGGGAGGCCGTTCCCCACCCTCGACTTGAGCACGGAGCTTGGGAGAAGCCGCCCCCTCCTTCCCCCCGGAAGCCCGAAGGCGCGACGGCCCGCGGGTCGCGGGTCGAGAGGGGGGGGGGCGTCGGGCCGTCGGGAGTCGGGCCGGGAGGGAAGCGGGGGAAGGGGAGGCGACTTGGATACGTAGGAGTAGTGTCAGGGATAGTCGCGAGGAACCCGAGACAGCGTGGAATCCTCGCCGCACTGTAGGAGTGCCTCTACGAAATTCTGGGAGCATCTAGGGCGGCGATAACATTACAGGGTGTTGAAGGGAAACGACGACGTCGTCGACGTCGACTCGACTTGACAAATCGACGACTCAAGACTCAAGACTGCGAGAATTCAAAACAGGTCCTCGGAGCCTGCACTGCCCTTGCTCTCGGCCATCTGCGTCTGCGACTCGACGACTTCCTGCGAGTCATCCCCGGTCTCCTTGGTGCGCTGCTTGAGACTCCGCTCGAGCTTCTTCTTCAGCGGCTCCAGCTGCGCCGCCTTCACGGGAAGCACGTCGCCGCAGGCGAAGATCTCAGCCATGATACCACCCCATGCAGTCGGCCAGTCGCTGGCGCTAGACATCTTCCAGGTCGTTGCAGAGCCCATGTCTACGAGGAAATCCGAGAAGTCCTGCATGCTGCGCGATGCGTCTCCGAGCACCCTCAGCTCCCCCCCCCTGCCGCCAAGGCAGGGGAAGTCCACGGCGCAATCGGCGAAGAATTCGAACATGTAGCGAGCCTGACGGGCAGGGAAGCGGCGGCACTGAGGGGGGTCGCCCCCCCGTCGGGCCCGTCGGGCCACGGTTTGTCCACGCGGCCACGCGGGCCAGGGGGGCGGGGAGGAGGGCGAGGAGGGCGCCCCTTCCTCACCTCCAAAGGCCTGAGGGCCCCAGGGCCCAGGGCCCACGCACGAAGCCCTGGGGCACTGCGGCCGCGCCTCCCCCCCGGGCCCCGCCCACCACATTCGAGCCGCGAGCTCGAGCGAGCCACGGCGACGCGGCGACGACAGCAACATAGTTCACCCGGGCCGCGAGGACTGCAGAGCGAGGTAGCGCGGACACGAGGCGGCCTCGAACGGCTTCGCGGCCCAGTCCAGGAACTTGCCCTTCGTCGAAGCCACCTGGATCGCCGCGAGGGCGCTGGCCCGCAGCCCCCACGACTCGCCGAAGTGATCCTTGAACGCATTGGCGAAAATGAATACTACTTTATGCAGCCCGGTGTCGTCTTGTTGCCCCTGGTGCCTGGAGGCCCCCTTCCAGGCGGCGGCGCGGACCATGGCGTAGTCCATGTGCATGCGGATGGGAGCAGCAGCGGACATCGACTCGCTCAGCCTCTTCAGCGCGCTCATCTGCGCGTCGGTTGCCGTCTGCAGAGGGTGGGTGGTGTTGTCGCTGGCGGAGCCGGAGCTGGCCTTGTTGCCCTTCTCCAGCACGCCGAGCAGCGCGGCCTCCACGTCCACGCTGCCACTGGCGGGGCCCAGGGTGGTGTTGCTCTCAGCCGCGAGCCTGTGGAGCCCGCCTGATCTCGCCGCCGCGTTGACAAGGTCCTGCAGCTTCGGCCTGAGGACGGACCAACGCGTGATATCCACGCTGTTCAGCGTGATGACACCATTGAAGCAGAAGTCGAGGCCGAGATTGACTGCCACAGACCGACACGCGATCTCGCCCTTCTTGTCCAGCTCGCACACGCTCGAGTCCTTGGCCACCTTGATCGGGCACTCGATGCAATCCATCAGGTCGTCGAGCCACATCTTGCTGCGCGATATCTGACGCATCTCGCCGCCGTCGCCGCCAGCGGCGGCGGAGTTGCCGTCGGCGCCGTCGGCGTCGCCGGCGGCGTCGTCAGCTATCACGGCGGCGCCGGCGCACGCCATCTCCAGGGTGGGCGCCTCCACGGGGGCATCCTGGGGCGGCGAGGAGGCGGTGGAGGCGAAGCGGGCGATGCTGGGGAGGGCCCCAGCACGCGCCCGAGTCAGATGGGGGCTCGGCAAAACAAAACATGCACGAGCGGAGAGAAAGGCAAGGGCAAGGAGGGGAGGGAAGGATGGGGCGGGCGGGGCAGGAGCCCGGGCAGGAGGAGAGGACGGGGGGGGGGGAGGAGGAGGGAGGGGCCCACAAGGGGACGAGTCGGAGCCGGCGGGAGGAGGGAGGGGCGCGGGGGGCCCGGCACGGCGCCCGCTCCTCATCCGCGTTGAGCTTATTTTTCTTGTTGGGCACCGCAGCCTTAGTCAGGTTTGTCGCCATGCGCTTGTACGCCTGCGACTCCTGAGGCGCAGCCACCCCTCTGCGCGCCCCCCGCCCCCTCCCGCAGCCGCGCCCCCCCCTACCACCCGCCAATACTGTGGGCCAATACTCCTCCCTCCCCTGCCGACCTCCGACCTCCCTAGCCCCCCCCCCCTACCTCGCCCCCCCTGTGTCTCCGCTGCCCCACGGGCCGTGCGCGGTGGCCCTCCCGCCGCCACCTCCCCCATTAGGACCCCAGGTCGTCCACGCCCATTCCCCCCCCGGCCCCTGGGCCCCCCCCCCACCCCACGGCGCCAAAAGGCCCGATGCCTCCATGCCCCCCAGCGGCATCCTTCATCAGCGTCTCAGCAGGTTGAGCTTGGCCTTGGGGGCGGGGGCGGCAATCTCCATCCCTCCCCCCCCCCCCCCCCCACCCCCCCCCCCCCCTCCCCCTCCTCCTCCTCCTCCTCCTCGTCCTCTCCTCTCCTCATCCTCCTCACTTCACTCCCTCCCGTCCCTCCCCCTCCTCCCCCCTCTCCTCCCCCCCCCCCCCCCTTCTCCTCACCCACACCCTCCTCAGCATCATCCCCATCCGCCGCCCTCCTGCGAGTTCCCCATCCCTCTCGCACCAATCCCCAGCCACCATCCTCACCCTCCCCCCATGCCTCTCCCCCCGCCACATCTCCCCTGAGTTTAAACCCGCGCCACCTGCGTCGCATGCCTGTCGTTCAGAACCCAGTCGCCCGTCTTAGAGCAGCAGACGGTGGCCAGGTACTTGGCGCCCTCCGTCTCCGCGCCGCCCCTCGGCTTGCAGCACGGGATGGCGAACTTGATCATCTCCAAGAGCACGATGGGAAACATCGGCTCGGAGATGGCGCCCTTGAACGAGTCCGTAAGCACGACGATCACCATGTGGATGCTCTGAACAACCTGCTCGTTCTTCATGGCGGGGTCGGCGAAATTGCACGTGGACCCCAGCAAGGCAAGCACCGGCTTCTTGCAGTTGGCCCGCCCGAGTGCGTGCATGGTCGCCTTGGCCACGTTGAACACGTGGGCCGTCGAAACCTTCCCAGGCCAGTGCTTATCGATATACTGATGCCTGCTGACCTGGTTCGAGACGTCGTACCCTTTCAAAATAGCCTCAGCCTTCCACATGCCCTCGATCTTTTCTACCGGCTCGTAGAGCTCCAGTAGCGTGAAGCCCGAGCCGCCGCGGAACTCATCGTGGAAGTCCCGCAACCAGCGGAGGACGTCAACCGGGGCTTTGTGGCTGTACAAGGCGACGCCCTCGAGCCCAGCGTTCAGCGTCTCGATGACGTTCTTGTTTTGCGGCTCCCGGTCGAACGCGTTGTAGATCGCCCGGGTCAAGGCCCCGCAGCTCACAAGCTTGTACGGCGGCTTGTCGCCCTCGGACATTATGGCCCAGGGCTGGCCCCTGACCGCGGCCACGTTCCCCATCTCGATAACCTTCTGCGTGCACTGCTCTTCGACGGCCTCCCGGCGCCTGAAGTTCTCCTCGTGCATCTTGAACATGCGCTCGCCAGTGAAGGGGCCGTCCGAAAAGAAGTGGATGTGCTTGTTCTGGTGGACGCGGTACAATTTGTTGACTGTGCCCAGGGGCCTCAGGCCGATTACACCCGGGAACCTATTGGCTATGGAGCCCTGAGGGCCATAGAGCTTCTTCCAAGGATCGTTCGCCGCATCCTCATCGGACGGCTGCCCGCGCAACTCCCTCGCAGACGCTGGGTCACGCGATGCCATCGCTGCTGGCTGATGCGCTCGGGGCGGCTTGGCAGCGGACTACTCAAGTGCCAAGTCAGCGGAGCCGGGGGGAAAGCGGGCCGGGGATTCTCGCAACAACAAAGCCTGGATGATTGCGGGGACAATCGCAGCTGCCGAACCACCGAAATCGCAAGACGTCGCAAGACTGCCCTGAAAGCCGCTCTCAGAGTTGGCCCCGCCTGTGGGGGACCCTGGGCCCTCAAGGCCCTCGGGCCCCCCCCCCCCCCCCCTCGCCTCTCTCCCGCTCCTCCCCCACCCCAGCTCGCCCTCGCCAATCCGTCGCCGTCGGCGTCGTCGTCGCGGGCCGGGGCGGCGCCAAGGCGGCGGGCGCCTCGCCGTGCAAAGCTGGGCCGAGCTGCCGCTTCCACACGCAGGCGCCAGCGGCGGGGCGGCGGGGAGGAGAGAGGGGCAGGACGATGAGTGAGGAGTGCGATGAGACGAGGCGTGACGAGGGATGGTCAGTCAGTCAGAGACCCCGGGGGGCCCGGGGTGCGGGGCGGAGGGCGCGCAGGGCGCCCCGGGCACTTGAGCGCCTCGGCCCGAGCGCGTCCTGGGAAGGAGGGCCAGCGAGGCAAGCGTCTGAGAACTCTGAGAAGTCGCATTGCAGACTGGGAGGAGGGAGGGGTGCAGCGGGCTGCGGGAACATAAGGCCCCAGTGGGGCCCCTAAGGCCCCTATGACACGGGAATCTCACGACGCGGCGCGGCCCAGGTTTCCCGGATATCAGGCGCGCGGGAGCGGGCCAAGGCAGGGCAGGGACCCGACAGGGACTAGGGGGTGCGGAGGGACAATCTGCTCCGCCACGACGAAGGCACGATGAGGGGGATGGAGGGGATGACGAGGAGGAGGAAACATCATGAAAATCCGAATCGTTTTTTTTTCGGCTGCCTGACCCCCCGATCGCAGCCCATCGCCTCGACGACGGGTGCGCTGGCCAGCATCTGAACGACAGCGCAAGCTTCCCGCCAAGCAACTGAGTGGAGGACGTGGAGGGTGCGGGGAGGGTAGGGAGAGAGGATGAGGATGAGGGGCGACAAAAGCATGAAGGCGTCGGCCGTCGGCGCGTCGGCTCGCCGACGCTAGTGACCCCGGCGCCGCGGCGCCGCTAAATCCAAATTCTTGCGAGCACGGCGGGCTCGCGAATCATCGGCTCCGCTGGCGCTCGCCGCGCACACAACCCGACCCGAGTGGCCGCCCAGACTGGACCTCCTCCGGCACGCACGCCCTCGTAACGCGCGGCCCAGACTGATGAATTATACGAGTCGTTGTTGTGGCGACCTGGAACTGACGCCCTCGCGGCCGGCGCCGAGCTCAGCTGGAGCTCTTCCCCTAGGGCTCAACCCCGAAAAACCTCGTGCATCCCAAGATGTACATCCAGATGAAGCCACACACTGGCACGGGCATCGAATTGCCACTCTGGCCCTTCACCTCGTTAGGCTTGCGATCCTCGCGCTTGAGGTTGAACGAACAGAACTTCGCGTCAGCCTTGTAGATCTTGGACATGCCGCCGGGCCCGTCGACGTCGTGGAGCATATCGCACACCTCTGGGACTGGGAAGCCTTGGGCGCACAGCAGCTCGGATGGCATGAGCCACCTGTCATGCACAGTGGACCAGGAGATGTCTGTGTTCTTGATGATTGCGTTGAGAATGCGAGGAGTGGAGCTGTGGCCATGCGCTGATGGCACTTGATTCAGCATGTGAACGCAGCTGGCCGCCTTGGTGCGCTCGTACTCCTGGAGGTTCTTCAGCTCGAACGGCGTGAGGGCATAGAAGGGGCGACGGCACGCGTTCAGCGCCACAGGCTCATCCTTTGGCCAGCGGTGGCCCCTTTTCGGATTCGTCGCCCACTTCAACTCGGCAAGCTGCTCGGCCTCGCCTGCGACCAGGATGCAATGCCAAGCATAACTGGTCGGGTACATGTAGCGCGGGAAAATGTTCGCCACACTGCCGTAGATCTCCATGATGCACGTCTTGTGGGTCATCACCGTCCAGCGCCGGTCCCGGTTCTGCGGCAAGCCGCGGTCCGTGGGCTCGAGCTCGTTGGACTCGATGTAGTACATGTCCTCGAACAGCAGCTTCAAGATCTCCACGTCGAACCTCTCATGGTTCTCGCGCACGATGATCGCCTCCTGCTGCTCGCGCCGCATGGAAGCCCATGCGCCGAGAACGCCCACGGACTTCCCGCCTTACCATTCTGGCCTTGCGGGCTCCAGTCGACGCACGGCAAGCCTGCCCAATGGACATTGCTGTGCTGCATCTGGCACTTCCTGCCATGCCGGAGGCAGGTGAACCTTGACACAATGGCAGCGTGCTTCTTGGCAACGGTGTTGAGGTGGTTGACGTGAACCTTGACGCCCTTGGCCTCGAAGCCCTTCAAGATTGCTCTGATCTCAGGCTTCCACGCGGACATGATGTCTTGGAACAAACACTGCGGCCCCCATGGGTGGATGAGCAACTCGGCCTGGCACTCAGGGTCAAACTCAAACCCGTGGACGTGCACAGGCCCCTGAAGTCCGTATCCGACCTTGTCTGCCAGCTGGGCGCAGATCATCATCAACGCGGTGCCTGGGGGAGGCATCCCAGCAGACGACTTGCAGTCAAGAGAGAGAGAGAGAGTGCGAGAGAGAGAGAGAGAGAGAGAGAGAGAGCATGCGAAGGAAGGCAGCAGCAGAGTGGGAGTGGGGGCCGAAGGACAGGAGGAGGAGAAGGGGGGCGCAGAGAAAAGCAGGCGAGAGCGAGAGAGAGAGAGAGAGAGAGAGAGAGAGAGACTGAGACTGAGACTGAGACTGAGACTGAGACTGAGAGAGAGAGAGAGAGAGACAGAGACAGAGAGAGAGAGGGAGAGGGAGAGGGAGAGGGAGAGGGAGAGGGAGAGGGAGAGGGAGGCAGAGGGAGAGGGAGAGGGAGAGAGAGAGAGAGAAAGAGAGAGATCGGACAAGTAGGCGGACCAGGGTCCGTCCGCGAGGCGCACTGCGGTGCGACAACTCGCATGCACTATTTGCGGCGGTGCAGCCTTTAGATACGAGGGCGGGCAACAAAAAAAACCCTCCCCCGGCGCAGTGCGACAGACGCTACAGACGGCGGACAGACGATGAAGATCTCACCTGTCAGACCGCGTGAGGAAAGAGGCCCCAACAAGAAAGGCGACGTGCTGGCACGTGGCTAGGCGGCTTGGCGGACCGCCTGTTGGGCGCTTGGCCGCAAAGCGGCGCGCAGTGACGGGGCACCCCCCGCCCCCACGCCCTGACACCGTGGACGCGGAGCCACACGTACACACGGGCAGGCAGAGAGGAGGAGATTAGCGCGGGGCACCGGGTGGAGCGCCGCGGAACGATGACAACAAAGCTTGGATGTTGAGTGACGGCACGGCACCATCGGGCGAGGCCGTGAGCAGTTCGGCGAAGGCTCGCCCAGCACTGTGGAGGCGCTGGAGTAGAGGGCCTTGACGAGCTTGGGCGGCGGCGAGGTCCGCGGCGAGAGCTAAGCACCTCTGCTGGAGGGCAGCCATAGCCTGTGACAGCTCGGTTTCACGGTCGGTGAGGGGTGGCTGCTCAGTACCAGCAGCCGAGGACCTCGAGACAGAGGCGGGGTCCTCGGTACGCCTGTCCAAATGGTGGACTAGCGTAGTGTGGGACCCTGTACGCTGACGTCCGTCACCCTTGGAGGGTGATTGGAGGGGCCGGCGCGACCCCAGGGCTGGAGCCGCTAGGGCCGCGCCCCGAGAGGTCAGGGGAGCCGCTTCCTTTCGCTCTGCAACGAAGGAAGCGTGGATGGGGCACGAGGGCCTGTCTGGTTTAGTACCCTGCGGGGGGGCTGAAGCCGCCCCCGCGGGCTGCTGGCGGTGGAGAGGCGGAGTGGTTTGCGTGGTGGGACCAGTCGTGATGCCGTGCAAGGCCGCCGAGGTCGGTCGCGTAGCAGGTTGGCGTCTCGGTGGGGCGGCATGGTCGGCAGCGTGTGGTATCGGCGGTGCGACCTCCATGCCACTCAGTCCTCGGGGGGCGCCCAGGTCGTGGTTGGCGTCTTGGCGGTGGCCGATATCATGGTATGTGGGCGTTAACGCTCTTGGGGACGAAGTCGCAGTAGGGGTCGAGAGGTTTCCCGACGGGGCGGGGTTTTCGCTGGCTGGTCTGTCGTCCAAAGCGTCCGATCCCCCACCGAGGCTGAACAGGTCATCGTCCTGCTCATCAGCGTCTTGAAAAGGAACGGCGTTGTCATGTGGGTGCGCTGCCGCACTCAATGGCGGAGTCGGGGGCGCCGTGCGGGTACCCGACGGGGCAGGGTTGGCGCTGGCTGGCCCGTCGCCCAGGAAGTCCAGGCCTCCACCAAAGCCGAACGGGTCGTCCTCCTGTTCGTCGAATAACACCCGTTGGGCCTCGGCCCAGAGCTCGTCGGGGTCTTGTGGGATGTCTGGTCCAGCCGCGGGTGGTGCCTGGTCAGACAGCAGGGGATTTGGTTCCATTTTGTTTAGTTCCGCAGCTGTGAACCCAGCTCTGCGGTGTGGGAGGGGGAGTGTACGATGTCTACGCTCGTAGATGGCGACAGCGACTCCATGAAGCACGGTCGCTTGGCGATGTCGTGATTTGGCAGCTTCGACGATGTCGTCTGGAAGGTTATGAGTACGTGCCGCCGCTGTGGCGAGGGCGTCAGCCTGACGATTGAACTCCTCCGCGATGGGCCCGATGAGCCCGAGGTCGATGCCCGTGTCGCCCTGGTGGCTAGCGACTTTCTCGACGCGGAACATGTTTGGCTTGGCCATGACACATCGGTGGACCTTTTCCCAGAGCTCCACGTGCGTGCCCTGCGGTGGTGAGTGTCCGTCGATGATCCTTTGGAAACCGTCAACCACCGCCTGGTTGTCCACGAAGACGTGTACGGGCCGTTCGGCACATGCCGTGAGGTGGACAATGGCGAGGGTCTCCGCAAGCTGTGCGTTCTGCGTGATGCCGTGAACGCGCGCACTGTAGTTCATGCGGTGGTCG